CTCTCTCACACCCTCACCCTCACCCTCCCTCCCTCTCCCTCTCTCCCTCATTCTCTCTTCGTATCTCTCTCATTTTGATTTGACTTTGATGATAACAATTATTATTTTTTATGTCCTGCCGTGCTTTTTACTGGTAATATAATTATCGTTTAAAGTACTTCCATCATTACGGAACCAATAGATTTTTGTCCGAAATTTGGGTCAGTCGAATGTTGGGTCGTAATTTCATCCGGTCGTGAATTATTATATTTTACGCTTGTGTTGATCAGTGGAGAGTTTTTTTGTTTTTTTATTGGTTAATTATTATTTTGGTAGGAGGTGCTTTTAATTTTTGCGCTGAATTCTGGTGATTTAGGAAATATATGTGTGTGTGTTTTTAAAGAATCATCTTTCGTTTGGTGCTTATTTCTAAGGTTTTTATTTATTTTGATATATTTTTATTATTTATTTATTTATTTTTTTATTTAATGATTTGTTCGAAAGTTGTATGTATACTTCCTAGATTCTTTTCGGGATATTTCCTCTTGTGTTTTATTGTGGGAAGAAAAGTCTTAACTTTTTGTTGCAAGAAAATCAATCCAGTTTTCAGAAAAAAATAGACATTGTTTACTTACTATGCCTCAGTATTTTTTTCAATTTACTTCCATTTATTTTTGTACGTAAATATGTATTTTTTTGCCAATAATTCTTCTTTGAGTTTGAAATCCTACAGTCTAAAAAATAAGGAGGGAGGTGGAGGGAGGGAGGGAGGGGGGGTGGCAAAACAAACAAACAAAAAAAGCCTCTGTTGGAATATGTGTTGTTTGTTCCTTTATCGCGACTTCAAAGGAATACGGACGGGGGGTGGGGGAGACGCCGGTGCAACAACGGCACAAGAGCTTCGGAATTGCCTTTTTTTATTTATTTTTGATATTTTATTTATTATTATTATTATTTATTTATTTGTCGTTTGAAGAAAGGAAGTTATTATTCGCTTGTGCTGGGTGATATAGGGGAATAGTTTTGATACTCCCCCCCCCCCCCCCGTCTTTCCTTTTCTTCTATATATATTTTTTTTTGTTGATTTTGAACACGTATATTGGGGATAGAGGCACTCGAATCATGGTTGTCTTTGTAGTCGTTTGACTTTGTCCGAATAACTGGCCTTTGTTGGGATGAGAGAAGACTGTCAGCACCATCGTATAACAAGGTAACAGTTATTTATTTAAGAGCAGAGGGAAATGGATGAATGTATTTGATTAGTTAAAAAAATAATAATAAATAATAATGTATTTGGGAAAAAAAATTATGAAGGTAAGGCTTAATTGAGGGATGGAGGAAAATAATGTAATTGGAAGAATGGACAGACCAAAGAATAAATTAGAATGTAAATAGACAAATGAAATCACGGATTCAATAGGAAAGGAGTCGAGGTAAATGGGAAATAACAAAAAAAGAGGCAAATAAAATCACGGACAAAGGAAAAAGAGGAATGAATGGAGGAATAAAGCATAGAAGAAAAAAACAATAGTAAAGCATAATAAAGTCACGATAACAGACATAATATAACATCATCATCATCATCATCACAGTCATCAGCGTTTTCACTCTTACCTGTTACGTCATCAGTCGTCTTCATCTCGGTCTCGGTGGGGGGGGGGGGAGGCGAGTTGCCAGTTTCTCCATAAAGGTGATCATTTCCTTTCGAAAGGTAACGAGGTTTGGTTGAGGGGGGTGGGGGGAGGAGGAAGAGGAGGAAGAGTCTTGAGAAAAGGTGTAAAAAGATGAGGAGGAGGAGGAGGAGCCGAGGGGAGGGAGGAGAGGGAAGGGGGGGAGGGTCGATGATTGCCTTACTCTTCGACGTCGTGGAGAGAGAGAGGGGGGGGGGGTGTCTCCTGTGGGCGTGCGTGTGGGCGTCGGGGTAGATGAGGGCGGGCGTGTTTGTGGCGTCGGTCGGGCACGTTCACTTTCATCGGGCGCCGGCAGGGTGGGCGACGGCTAGTCTCCTCGGCCGGCGCTGGCTGGAACTTTCGTCTCGGGGCGGCGCGCACTTTCACTCGCCAAGGTCCCCCCGCGTGTGTGTAGGGGGGTGAGAGGGGGGAGAGGGAGGGGGTGGGTAGAGGCTGTTGGGGAGGTTTGTGTGTGTGTGTGTGTGTGTGTGTGTGTGTGTGTGTGTGTGTGTGTGTGTGTGTGTGTGTGTGTGTGCATACGTCCGTGTCCGTCCAGCCCTCCAGAAACACACTTTTTTTTACGGAATGGGCATTTCCTTTCCTATCTTCTCTTCCACTCCCGGTTTTTTTTCTTCCTTTCTTTACCCCGTCCATCACCCATCATTCTTTTCCTATCCCATCCTAGTTTCCTTCCCGGACCTTCTCCGTCTCTTCCCCTTCCTTTCTTTGCCCTCTCTCCTCTCTCCTCTCCTCTCTCTCCTTCATTACCACGTGTCGTGCCCCGAGCCCCTCTCTCCACACGCTTTACCTGTGGCGCCCTCTGCTTGCGACCCTGCTCACGTTCTTGCGGTGAAGGACGGAGGGAAGCAGAGACAAAAGGAGAGGCGAAAGAAGCGAAGGATGAATTGATTAAGGATTTCCATAAAGCGAGACTCAAAGAGAGAGAGAGAGAAAAAGATTAATTTACTCTCTCCGACTCTCGTTCACTTCCTGGTTTCTCCTTACTTACTTACTTACTCCTTTCCTCTCCCCCCCCCTCCCCCAGACTCCCTCTCGTTCTCACTTTGTCCTTTTTCTTACTTATTCTCCCTCCCTCGTATTCCCATTCCCTTTCTCCCCTCCTCCTCCTCCCCTCTCTCCCTCCTTCCTCCCCCTCTTTCTCCCATCGTCCGTCCTTCCTTCCTTCCTCTCTTCACCTCTCCCACTTACTCCTTCCATGCCAATCCTCCCTTCCCTCCCTCCATCCCAACCCTCCTTTCCCTCCCTTCCCTCCATCCCAACCCTCCTTTCCCTCCCTTCCCTCCATCCCAACCCTCCTTTCCCTCCCTTCCCTCCATCCCAACCCTCCTTTCCCTCCCTTCCCTCCATCCCAATCCTCCTTTCCCTCCCTTCCCTCTCGTTAATGTTCCTATGCGAGCAGGGCGACCGTCACGTCATGCGAGGGCGCAGCGAGGAGGCCGCCCGTCCGTACCCTGCCTGTCCTTTCGTTGCGAGGGAGGCTGTTATGCAAGATTGCGTCGAGTCGAGGCGGGGATTAGAACGGACCCGTCACGGTGTTTTTTTATATCTCATGTAATTTACATAGTTTGGGGGAAGATTCGTTTTATTTATTTATTATTATAATTATTTTATTTATTGTTTATTTGTTGTTGTTGTTTTTTTGTTTTTGTTTTTCTGTTATGTGGAGTTAGTTTGTTGAGTCTTGTAAGGAAGCGAGCGAGGCGAGCGGTGTATACAGAGTGAGTTTGTTGAGTGAATGCATGAGCGTGCGAATAAGTGTTGCATAGCGGTTGGTGTTGTTGCAAGCTGGCCCGTTCTAGTCCGGTCCAGCAGTATGTCCTTACCACGGCGTCAAGGTCAGCATGTGATTATAACACTTCCCCAAACGGCCTCGTCTCCGCGGTGTTATTAGCGAGTCCTGCGCCGTCCAAGGAAAGTGATTTGTGGTCCTTCTACAGGCGCCCTTATTTAGTTATCCTTACCCAGGCGCGGGTTCCCCTTACTTCGTTATCCTCTGTACAGGCTCGGATCCTCTCTTTCGTTTATTGGTCGTGTAGGATAAAGTCATTAGTCGTCCCTGTATGGGCCTAGGGTCCTTAGTCATTTGGTTGTCCTTTTTATCGACTGTAAGTCCCTAGTAGTCCCTTTATATGAAACTGCTCGTCCTTATCAAGGTCATACTAGCCCCGGTATAGCAATTTAGTCGTTCTTACATACGTAATTAGCCTTCCTGTATACCCCCACCCCCACCCCTTCCTCCCCACCACGGCAGCTGTACAGAGGTAATCACACCGGCGGCACGTAACACCTGTCGAGCCGGAGGGTTGCAACCAGCCGCTCTTGGTGCCTCGAATCGGAACGCCTCGTATCGCCGCCCTGCCGTAACGGAACGCCGATTCCGTCACGTCGCTGTTTACGGGGCGCTGATTTCCGTTACCGTTCGGGAGGAGTGGGGGGTGGGGGGGGGGAGAGGGAGCGTCTTCGGGGGGAGTGTTAGAGAGATTGATTATGAGTGAGAGGGGTGAGTGAGTGAGTGAGAGGGAGGGGATGGGTAAGTAAGGGTGTGAGTGAGAGTAAATGTGAGGGGGTTGGGTGAGTGAGAGGGATTGAGAGTGAGGGGATAAGTGAGAGTGAGGATAAGGGAGAGAGAGAGTGAGAATGAGTTTCTGCGTGCGCGCGCGTGTGTGCGTGTGGGGGCGTGTTTGTCTGTGCGTGTGTATGTCTGTGGAAGAGGGGATTGTGTTGTGGTCTTGAGCAAGGTCTGCTGAGTGAGCGTAACACCACCTGTTTTCCTCCTCCTCCCTCCCCGCCTGCCCCATACTCTCACCTTATCGCCCTCTCCCTCTCTCCCTTCTTTATTAGCTGTTTCTCCTCCTTTCGTTGCGTGACAAGGTAGGAGAAAGGGAAAGGGGGAGATGCTTCCCAATGCTAGTTGAATGGTGAGCGAAACAGCCGATGTGTGCAACCACCACTGTTCCTCCTTCCATTCTTCATCACTTCCTCCACTTCCTCTTCCTTCTTTTCATTTTCTTTCTCAAATTTCTCCTTCGCTTCACTTCTCTTTCATCTAATGCTGTGCTCTTTTTTCTGAATTTTATGAATTGATAAATGTATTTCAAAGTGATGCTTCTTTTTTCGCTCCATCCTCCTCCCAGGCTCCCTCCCCCCTCTCCTCCCTCCTTCCTCCTCCGTCCTCCCTCCTCCACCTCCCTCCTCCCTCCTCCCTCCTCCCTCCTCCCTCCTCCTTTGCGGCAGTGAGTGGGTCGGCGAGCGAGTGTGGGACGGAGGTGGTTGGTGGCGGCGCTCATGCCCAGTTGGGCGCGCGAGTCTCTCCCGTGGAGACCTCCTCCGCCACCTTCTCAGGGCGGCTCACGCTGCACATACACACACATACACACCTGCCTGCCTGTCGCTCTCTCTTTCTCTCTCCCTCTCCCTCTCCCCTCCCTCTCTCTCTCTCTGTCTCTGTCTCTGTTTCTCTCTCGCTTCCGTCCCTCTCCCTTCACTTTGCATCGCGTGCACACATCCACCTGCCCTTCTCCCATTCATTACTAGCCCCTCCCCCAACTTCCCTCCCTCCCTCCCTCCCTCTCTTACTCTATTTTTACCTCTAAAAAGGAACACCTGTCCGGCCTTCCCTCTACCCTCCCTCCCGCCATCGCCTCGTGATCGGGGCGGGGAACACCTGCTCTCGATCTCGCATCTGTGATGAAAGAACCGGATCTGGAATGACCTCGTGACGGCGTCCGGCGAAGGACCTCCCCCGCCTCCTTCTCCTCCTCCTCCTCCTCCTACACCATTTTTGTCCCTCTCCCGAAAAAGAAGAAAATAAAGAGGTGTGCGTGTCTCCGAAGGATGTGTTGGGTTCACCTGCGCTGTCGATGCTGAGTGAGTCCAGCCTCGTCGTCGTGGCCGCTGCCGTGAGGAAGTGAGTGGCTCCGTAGAGTACGGTGGGTCGTGTGTCAGCGAATGAAAGCAAATTGAAGCAAGCGGAGGAAAGCAAAGCAAGCAAGCAATCGAGCAGGCAAGGTCTAAGTGAAGGGGGCCCGCTCCGAGCCCTTGCTCCTCCCACCCCCCCTCCCCCCTTGGCCCCTCCCCCTTCCCCGCAGCGCCAGCGGCCCATCAGCGGCGCGGAGTTGTGTCGCGGAGGGAGATAAGTGCGGTGATAGTGCTGGCTGTGACGACACGTGACGTCTTGAAGGCGCCGAGTCGGTTAACCCAAGGATAACGCGCGAGAGCGAGTGTCAGCCGAAGCGATCCTTCCAAAATATCGGATCGGCAGAGCGCCTTGGCCCAGGCCTCGTGCGGCAGCGTGTGTGACGGTAGTGTAACGGGGGAGCGCAGTGATAACGGCGCCAGGCAGTGGCCGAGCGAGGCACAGGCGGAGGTAACGGTCGCTGGCTGTAAGAGAAGCCACTTAGTTGCTCCTGCTTGCTGCTGGCTGCCTGCACCACCTTCGTCGACTCTCACCTTTGCTCTTTGGCTGCTACTGCCTCCACGTCTCTCCGTAGGCTTGTCTACACCGCGCTCTCTGGCCTCGCCTCGCCTCGCCTCCCCTGCCCTCTCCTCCCTTCTCTCCGTCCCGTTATCGTAGTCCCTCCTTTCACCTTCGTTTTAGCGCCCCTTCCTTTCGTCCCGCGGCATTGTCCTACGCCTTCCCTTCGCCTGCCCTTTATTCCGAGTCTGAGGCGTGCGCCTGAGGTGTTCTTCTGAAGTGCTTCCCTCCGGTGTTCAGTGAATGTGCAAGCACCATATCCCGCGCACTGTATGCACCGCATGACAGTGCCTGATCCCGCGGTCCGCTACACCCAGCCCCGTCCACTTACCTTCTGAGGGTGGAAGGTGGAAGGTAGGACGTGCGCGTCCTTGGAGGTGTCCTTTGTGGCGGACCTGTAGGGTGAGTGGCCAGCCCTAACCCTTAGCGCGTGTGGCCAGCCCCAGCCCTGATCCTGGAACGGTGAGGTGCACAAGTGAGCGTTCGGCGTGCGAGAGGAAGACCGAGGAAGTGAGAGAAGGAGAGAGAGAGAGAGAGAGAATCGCAGGCGTCGGAAGTGGTGGGAGTGATCCGCGTGTCGCAGCGAGCACACAAACCCCACCATATTGGAGACCTGAATACCGCTCTGTGTTAAGCGCATTGTGTGTGTCTGTGTAAGATCCTCATTATCTCTGCCGCAAAGGAGAAAGATAAAAGAATAAAAAGAATTAACAGTGAGATTAGATAGCCAACCTGGTGGATCAGGTGTTGTTTGTGCAAGATTTGAGGTTTGTGTCCATGCAGATATAAGTGAATCTCGGGGGAAATAGAATGTGGAGAGAGAAAAAGGCATAGAATTATACAAAATTGGTGCAAAACAGTGTTATCCTCCTGGCTATACCCGGAGTAAGGCCAAACCACACCCATTTTACCCCCCCTTACCCCCCCTGCCTCCTACTCTTCTTAATAAGTCTATCAGTAACACAAGCCAAGAGGACTCGAACCATGGCTTGGCAAGGCAGGTGAATAATTGAAGAAAGAAAAAAAAACGAGGAAAAAAAGAGAAAATAAAAGAAAATCAAAAGAATCGTACAAACAGGAAAGCTGCCTGGCCTATGCTGGACCCCAACTTCTTCACAGGAGCGACGCTGTGGTGAGTGGTGGTGATGTGGTGATGATGTGGTGGTGGTGACTTGGACTCGGATCAGACAGTGACGGCTGAACGGTGAACGCACACGTGGCCAGGTAACACGAACTGTCACCATCTGCTTGGTTTTCCTTGGGAGGGAGGGAGGGAGGGAGGGGGACGATGGTTGTGGGAAGGATAGTGTGCTGTTGGTGATTCTGGGCAGGGAGTTGGAAAGTGGGGGGAAAAGGATGGAGGGAGGGAGGGAGGAAGGGAGGAAAGGAATGGATAAGAAGGTGGGAGAGAGAAAAGCTGGGTGGAATCGATGGCTGGATTTGAAGGGATAGATGGATACATGAAGTGAATGAAGGAGGCTGGGATAGTCCTATTCTATTGTCTCTTTGCTTTCCTCTCTCCCTCCCTCCGTTCCCCTCCTGCCTGCTTACCTACTTACCTACTAACCTTCCCATACCCACCGATTCTTCCTCCCCATGCCCACCTACTCTCTCCCCCTTCCCCCCCCCTGCATCAGTCCTTCTCCCTCTCCTCCCTCTCTTTGTTATGGACGAAGGTGCCTGCGCGAGGATGTGACGTGGTGGAGGTTTTCCAGGGTGAATGTTGTGGGTTGGTTACAAAGAAGGCTTTCGGGTTGAAACGGCTCTCGGAGTGGCGTAGCGAACCCACTTTGCCGGAACACCTTGTAAGGAAAGTGAAAACGAACGAGGGTGCCAGCTGACGGCCCCTCCCCCTCCTCCTCCTACTGCCCTCCCTGCTTCTCCTGTCTTTCTGTTTCTCTTTTTCATTCTTTTCTCGTTCTTTCTTGTCTTTCTCTGCTTTAGCCCCCCCCTCTCTCTCTCTCCCTCTCTCTCTCTCTCTCTCTCTCTCTCTCTCTCTCTCTCTCTCTCTCTCTCTCTCTCTCTCTCTCTCTCTCTCTCTCTCTCTCTCTCTCTCTCTCCTTCTCCCCCACGTTACCCTTCTTCCCGGCCCCACCTTCATTCCCTTCAGTCTTCTGATCTTTCTTTTATCACGTCTCCCCCATTTCTTTTCCTCCTCCTTCCTTTTCCCCTTTTCCCCAATCCTATCAGCACCTTTAACTTCGCCTCCTCCTTCGCTGGCCGATTCTGCGCGGACTCATACCCTTTTGGAGGACTCCTTTCTTGTGGACTCGACCATGACTTTTGTCCTTCAGCATTGACTTTGCAACAGCATGTTCAGTTTTTTTGACGAGGTCCCTCCCTCTTCCCCACTACCCTCTACCTTCTCTCCACTCCTCTCTCTCTCTCTATCTAGTCCCCCTCCCTCCTTTCCTCTCCCCCTCCCCCCCTCCCTCTCCCTCTCCCTTCTGTCTAGTTCCCTCTCCCCTCTCCCCTCTCGCCCGTATCAAGGTCGGCAGCGTGACTTCGCCTTGTCTTATGATCGCCAGTCTTTTGGTATTTGATGTATCCACTGTTTTTCCACCCCCTTGCTGTACCTCACTTTTTTCGTGCTCTTGGATATTCCAGTACTTTTGCCGCCGTAATTATTTTTCTCTTTGCTAGTTTCAAAACACCTATGTCCTTTGTTTGTATGAAGGTACCACAGTGCCCTCCTTTTTCTTTTCTTCTTTTTTGTGTGTGTATATAGTTTTTGTTCTCTTCTATACTACACTTCTTTTTTTTGTAACGCGTGTTGGTATTCCAGTCCCTTTGATGTAGTGATCATTTTTCCGATATCAGCTTCGAAAAATGTGTTTTGATATTTGATCCTACCAAGAGTACCTTGTTGGGCTATTCTTTGGCGTATGTGATGTGACGTATCCCTATTTCTTCCGTACACTAGTTTTTGCAAGTTTTTTCTTTTTTTGGTGGTATCCCAGCCCCCATACCAAAGTGATTTATTTCGATAACAACCGCCTCGGAACACACTGCATCGTTATATAAGCCCACCACAACACCTTTTTTGTATTCTATACCAACTGCGTAACCCAACCTTTTTTTTTTATACTAGTCACATGCCCCAAACATACTTTTTCTATACATGTCAGTCTAGAAGAACTTACAGGATCATTCAGTCCCCTCGATCGCATCTAGTTCGCTATAAAAATGAAAGTAAAATGATTCGATAGTTTTCTTGTTGCCAGCCATCCGAGCGGAAACGGAGTTTGAGCGAAATGCACGCAGCGGCGGCGGCGGAATGGGAAATGCCTCGGGTTTAAAAAAGCTACCCCGGTAATCATTGGCAATCGTGATGGTCTTCGCCGGCCTGACCGTGCGGTCGTGTCTTGCGCTCGTTTCGGGGATCGTTTGGATGGTTGAGTGGTTTGCGTTTTAACTGTCTGGGTGTTGATGGCCTGTTTTTGTGCATTTCTAGTCTCGTTTCTTGTTCTTGTTATGTCTGCTCTCTCTCTCTCTCTCTCTCTCTCTCTCTCTCTCTCTCTCTCTCTCTCTCTCTCTCTCTCTCTCTCTCTCTCTCTCTCTCTCTCTCTCTCTCTCTCTCCTCTCCTCTCCCTCTCCCTCTCCCTCTCCCTCTCCCTCTCCCTCTCCCTCTCCCTCTCCCTCTCCCTCTCCCTCTCCCTCTCCCTCCCTCTCTCTCCCTCTCTCTCCCTCTCTCTCTCCCTCTCTCTCTCCCCCTCTCTCTCCCCCTCTCTCTCCCTCTCCCTCTCCCTCTCCCTTCCTCCTCCATATCCAGCTGTCATCCCACCGTAATTCAGCAGGACGCGGCCCGGGCGAGATAAGGTTCCATAGGTCAGAAGGCGCAGGAGAGTAAACAATGGTCATCGAGCACCCAGAGGAACATTCACTCTCACTTTCACTAGTGGCGGTGGAGTGGGGTCCCTCCCCCTCTCTCTCCACCCCTACCCCTACCCCACCCCTCAACCCTCCTTCACCGTAAGCCAGATCCCCCCCTCCCTTCCTCCTCTCTCTTCCCCCCCACCCTACCCCCCTCTATCTCTCTCTCTCCCACCCCACCGCCTCCCCCTAGGCCCTTGCGAAGAAAGTAGTCGTCTTCGTCTCGCGTCGGAGGAGGAGCAGAGGGGGGTGGGGGGCTGGTTAGGTTGCCGGCTGTGTTTTTTTTTTTTTTTTCTAAGGCTTTCGTTGTTGTTTTAGTTGTTGCGATGCGAGGATTCGGACGAGGCGATGGCGTGTGTCGAATGGGCTTTTGGTTACGCACGCACTCGAACACACTCAAGCACTCTCGCACGCCGGTTATGGTGTTGTGATGGTCTCCGGAGGTGTGAGAGAGGGAAGGGGGTGAGAGAGAGAGAGAGGAATAAATGAAAGACGCGAAAAAAATAAGAAATTCGAAAGGGGAGAGAAGGCGAGGGGGGGGGGAAGGAGGGAGAGAAATGGTCGTCGCTGTATTTGCACAAGACTAGGATTGTTGGCCGCGCAGGTGATCCATCTCGAAGGGCGTCGTGTACTTTTCTTGGACTACGGTTAGGTCGCAGGCCATTGTATTTGTTTCTGTGGTTGGGAATGATGTTCAGTTTGTTGTTTTGTGCTTTGTCATTGTTATCGTCGTCATTAGTGTTTGTTATTATTGTTTTTGTTTCTGTGGTTATTGTTATCATATATTATTATTATTATTATTATTATTATTATTATTATTATTTATTATTTTGTCAATTGTTAAAAGTTTTGTTGGTTATTGTTGAAATTGTTATTACAGTCCTTATTGTTGTCATTGTTATTGGTGGTGTTGGGCACAATTGGGATAAGCCATTCTATCGCGCATAAGTTGGGGTATTACTTTCTATTGTGTTTTCAGAAACCTAATACTCGTACTTGTTGAGTGGACGATACAGATCTCGCACGCTCTTCATGTCCGTGTTTTACCTTCCCTGCATTCCACTCCCCCCCCCCCCCTCTTTTCCCCTCCATTCTCCCCCTCTCCCCCCCATTTCCTCCTTGTCAACCCTTCTATCCTTTTGGTTATTCCCAGTTCGCTCTTCTCAATACCCCTCCATGTGTTGTGTTTAATGGTCTTTCCTTTATCAACCGTCCCTCTCTTGTCCCTCTCCCTCTATTCTCTCTCTCATGTGTCTCCCCTCGGATCTCCCTCTTTCCCCTTTGTCCCCCCCTCCACCCCCCCCTTCCAAATACTCTTCTCCCCCTCCTCCCCACCCTCCGATTCCCCAACTAATCATTCCGAATATTGCTACGCTCAGTCTCTATCTCTATCTCTATCTCCCCCCTTCTCTCTCTCTCTCTCTCTCTCTCTCTCTCTCTCTCTCTCTCTCTCTCTCTCTTTCTCTCTCTCTCTCTCTCTCTCTCTTTCCCTCTTTCCCTCTCTCTCTATCTCTCTCTCTCTATCTCTCTCCACCCTCTCCCCTCATACTCCCCCTCCCTCTTTTTCCTTCTCCCAACCCCCCTCATCCTACCCTCCCTCCTCCAACCACCCACCCTACCCCCACCTTTCCCCCCATTCTCTCAATCCCCTAACTACGCATCCCATACCCCCCTCCTCCCCCTAATCACCTCCCCCCCTTCTTGATATCCGTACAGTGTTGCAAAACGTGAAAATGATTGTTGCTATTGAATATCTGATTTGCAGCCTCCCATTGTTAGGCTTTGAGGACCGAGGCCTTTTATTGTGCGTCGCTCCCCCCCCCCCCTCCCCACCTGACGTGCGATGTGACGTCAGAGCGGAGCTTCTCGACGTGACTCGGGGCGGAGGAGAGAAGGAAAAAAAAATGGGCGAAGACGTAATAGAGAGGTGGGCGGGTAAACAAGTGTGTGAGGGGGGGGGGATGAAGGGAGGGGGTAAGAATAGGGAGGAAGGGAAGGGAAATGGGTGGAGGGAGGGATAAGGATAGGCAGGGAAAATGGGGGTAGGTAGAATTGGCAAATAAGGGAATAGGTGGAGGAAAACGTGGAAGTAAATGAAGGGAAAGATAATTGGAAGGCAAGCACGGAAATTAATGAAGGTAGGGATAAGAGAAGCTCGGTGAACGAAGAAATAAATGAAGGGGGAATTAAGTAATGTTCTGCCGAGAGGTTGCATAGTGAGGGGGGAGGGTAAGCCTTTGGGTATTGTAAAGGGGTACA